CATTGCTCATCTCCCCACTTGCTGGGCTGAGCAATGGGGCACATGAGCTGGCAACGGAGAGACGTTAGTGAGCGGATGAAGTGAAGCTGTCAGGGGTCGGTAGGTTACGCATGCATGCTGTGATTTGTTACCCACAATGCCCCTGGATCCTTGTAGGCTCTGTGCCTGCAATATCAGGAAGACTCCTCTCTCTGGCAAAGAGCCCTTCCCTTCTCCTTGGCTGCTTTTGGATCGGGGCCTCTCCTGCATCTGCTCGGTTGCCTCTGAGTTCTGCAGAAAGCGAGCACCCAGTAACCCACAACCTACAAGAGGCATTTTCTCTCTTCCCCGTCCCATGGCAAACATCAGGCTCTGCCCCTCAAGACTCTGCGTTGCCCAAAGGGTGGGGAATGGCTTGGCATCAGCCTTGCGGGTCCCTGCTGTGACTTGGGAGAGGTTTGGCACCCTCTCTGCCAAAGTTCACCCTGCCACAGAAAGCATCGGCAGACCACATGTCTGTGGCCGGGGTGGGAAGTGGCGTGGCACGTAATTAAATGCCATTGCCAAGGAAGGCACTATGGACTGGAACTGATTTAGGACCTCACATTCTCAGAAAAAGAAACAAGGAAGTAAGAAGCTAAGGAGAGTCTTAGCCCAGAATCCTCTTCTCACAGTGGCCAAGCAGGAGCCTATTATGGGAAACCCACTAGCAGGATCCCAGCACACGACCCCTCTCCCCTCTTGCGGTTCAGAAGCATTGCTTCCTCTGACTGTGGAGGTGCAGGAGAGCCATCGTGGCTTGCGGCCATCGATGGCCCTCTCCACCTTTAGAATACGCTGTACCACAAAACCACAGCCCTTCTCCTCATTTCACCTTTGATATCTCAAGGTTTTCCGGAGACTGCTGTTTGTGTGGGCTGGGTGCTGCAAGCCAATAGCCCCAAGAGCCAACCTTCTGCACTGGAAACCGGTCTTGTGAATACTCCCAACGGACCAGCCACAATAATAAAAAACAAGGCTCAGGAATCTCCTGGCTCAAGCCACATGACTTAGGCGGTGATGGCAAGATGTAAGAATGCCAAAGCTGGCTTGCAGGGGAGTAATCACAGCATCAGTTGCCATACCCAAGATGCCTGCTCTTTTGCCTCATGGCATAACTACTGCCATGGCAAGCAAAGGCTGTGTGGCACTCACACACCCGGGCACCTCAGGGGGTGGTGAACTCTCCTTCATTGGAGATTGGATGGCCACCAAACAGGGATTCTTTCTCTGGGATTCCTGCCTTGTGGGGGGCTGGATGACCACAGGGAGTCCCTTTCAACTCTGTGATTCGATGATTCTTCTGTTTCTGTACACCTGCCTTTGCCTGACCTGGGGCCTGCCGGTCTGTTTTGGCTCTTTGCAGGAGACGGACACAGCAGCAAAGCCTACAAGGAAATGGGCGTGTTGTTAACCTCAGCAGCTGGAAGCTCACGTCAGGGACATGGACGCCTTTTGACCGAAGACAGAATTAATTGATGAGTTTATATAGAAAGAGGAAGCGTTACCCTAGGAGCTAAATGCCTAAAAGGCTTATTTCTCTTCACTCTCTTTTTCCGATCTGTAGGAATACAAAGCAATTGCGGGTTTTCCAAACAGCACACTGAATAGATAAATAAATAGATATAGATATAAATCCTCCTCTCTTTCTCCACATTTAGGAACTGAATCCAAAGTCACACATCCAGAGCACCCAACTGTTGCTTAAGAGAGAACCAATTGTGAAATGGACCTTTGCTTTGGGGATGAGTTGGCCTCAGGCGGCACTGTGTCTTGAGCAGGGTCACCTAGTGGGAGGTGAGGGCTCTTCTCTGCGCCCTTTGACCTTGGGACCTGGACCGGAGGATGTGACTGGGCTCCTGTGCTGACCTCAGCCTTGCCCCCAGTGCTCCGACACAGTCCTAGAGTCAAAAGGTAGGTGATGCTCTGGCCTGGGCAAGATGTCTGCATGGCAAGGAAGGCCAGTAAAGGCAGGGCTCCCTTTCGCTCCAGAGCTCTTGGGATTGGAAAGCCGGGAAAGGGCAGAAAGGTGGGAAGGTCGGGATGGAGGGAGGAGGTCAGTCTTAGGGAGGGCTGCCTCTTTGAAGTTCCATACAGAACTCACAAAGGATTTGCAATATCTATACAGACACACAAACACAGAAATCGATAAGATATATTTATCACGGCATGCGGCATGCGCTTTTAGGGACCAGGGAGAAATAACGAGGGCATTGTTTTCAAAACATTGCTGTCACTCATGTCATGATGTTGATGCTCTCCTGCCTTGCAGAGGGTTGGCTCAGGTGCTACAATTCTATGACTAGCCAGAAATCTTGCCAGTTCATTGTCAGTAGCTCAGTCAATATGGCAATATGGGTTTGAGCCCCACGTTGGGGAAAGATTCCTGCATTGCAGGGGTTGGACTAGAGGACCCCTGGGGTTCCCTTCCAACTCTACAAGACTATGATTCAAAGGGCTTGCTCTTGCCACCCTTCTTGGTGACACCAAGCTGTGACTCTGAAGTTTATAAATGGATATGAAATGAACCACGCAGCAGCATGGACTGTGTTGAAGAGCCTTATCAGCAAAGGGGGTTGATTTCAATTAAAAACAACCCACGGGAAGGTCTGAAGTTTGATGGGAAATGGCAAAGGAGAGGGTCATTTGTAGGAGGGTAGAGTTTGTCCAGACAAGCAACTTCTGTGTAATCTGCTCCTAGGAGGCACTGTTCTAGCTACATCCCATAATCCCACTGCCTCCAGTGTGTGGCACATGCCCCTTTCCCTAGCTGCTGTCTCACATTTCCTCCTTCCCTGCCCAAACTTTTATGCACTGCACTCAGACTTTCTCTTGGAGAGCAGCTCCACGTCTAGTCCATCCTTAAAGCAGCCGGAGGGCCCACAATGCATGTTTGCAGGGGTTGACAGACAGGCACTGATTACTGCCATGTGCACTCTGTGGGGCTTCCCTTGCACATGATCCAGAGGCTACAGTTGGGGCAAGATGCTGCAGCATGAAGTTGTTAGCAAACAGCACTTGTGCTCAAGAGACCTGTACTGGCTGCCAATTTGCTACCAGGCCAGGTTCAAGGTGCTACTGCTGGCATATAAAGCACTTAACAACTTGAGACCAGTCTACCTGAGAGATTGCTTTGCTCCATATAATCTCATCTGACTGCTTCCATTGGAGGAATTTGTACTATTGCAGTTGCGACATAATACCCATTCTGCCTTTGCAAGCATTCGATCGATTAGTGTGGCAACACCTAAACCAGGCATAGGCAAACTCGGCCCTCCAGATGTTTTGGAACTACAACTCCCATCATCCCTAGCTAACAGGACCAGTGGTCAGGGATGATGGGGGTTGTAGTCCCAAAACATCTGGAGGGCCGAGTTTGCCTATGCCTGCCCTAAACTCTGGAACTCCCTGCCTACTGATCTCAAGTAGGTGCCTTCACTGCATTCTTTTCAGTGCCTGCTGAAAACATTATTGTTTGGGCAAGCCTACCTAGAGGCGTAGAAAGTTGGTGAGAATCTTTTCCTGTTTCAGTAGCTTAACCGTTTGCATGCTTTAAAGCATTGTTGTGACATTTTCTTCTCGTAAATGGCCTTGAGGTTTTTTAACAATCAAGAAAAAAGGAATCTCTGCTGCAGGAGCCGGCAAGGCGACTCTGGCAGGCAGGAGGAGGGGCGAGGAGCCATGCCCCCTGGCCACACTGGCTTCCAGGGCTTTGAGCCTAGCCTCATTTGGTGAGCCGAGGTCTCCTCAGCCTGGGCCAAACCTAATGAGACCTGTGAAACTGGTTTGGCTCCCCACTTTCCCTCCGGGCGGCACATGGGTGTAGTTGAGCAAATGTGTAAGTTGCTTTAGATTGCCTGGGGCAAGAGAAATCAACTAACCAATGTAACAAACAAACAAATAAGGGTTTGATTATTTTTAAGGTGAGAACAGACACACCCAAGTGCTAGGAATGCTCCCATGCTCATCGTTTTGGGACAGTGGAGGAACAGGGGACGGGAGCATGGGAGGAGAAGGCTGGTCTGGACACACTCCAAGGGCAGGGGAAGGAGGGAGGGAATGCCTGAGTGGGGGAGGGGATCAGCCTTTCCCTCATCTCCCCCTGCCTCTGCCCCCACCACCTTAAAAAACAACCTCCAGGGGTTCTGCCTGCTGTCCCCCAGCCCTACCATGCTGGCTGGAGCCATGGAGAGCTTCTGCCTTATACTGGCACCCACGCCCCTTGGCGCATCAAGCCGAGTACGGTACGATCGCATCTCACACGGGGGTTCGGTTCCAAGGGTTCTGCATATGTGCAAAATCACGTATACTGCGCACTTGGATCCACCTCCCCATGCGAGCACCCCTAGTTTAGGGTTGCCATATTTTGAAAAAAGAGGACACATTTCCTGACTTCTCCTTTTAACTATGGATTGCTATGATGGCTCTACCTGTGAAAAAGAGGGCGTGTCCTGGAAAAAGAGGACATATGGCAATCACACCCAAGTTCCCTAGAGCTGGCGCGCTGAGCAGACCTTGCCCCCCAAGTGAGGCAGAGAGCTTAAAAGTTCTTTTTGCACAGGATGAACCTAGCACAAAACCTTATGGGAATTCAGATGGCCTCGTGAAAGCATCCCATAAGAGGTGCGCCAAGAGGGCCTTGCCTCTACCCACCCTGCAAGCAAGTCAGAGAGTTTTAAAGATGTGGCATTTCCCGGAACCAAAAGTGCTGTCCAGCTCTCCTGACTTGTAACCTGCACAATTCCAACCAGCCAGCCTCCAGCTGCATATGGCTGAAATGTCACGGGTGAAACACTTGTGAGATGCGATCGTACTGTATTTTCTACACCGGCTGGCAGCTGTGACTTTCCAGAGCTTCAGGAAGCGGGTATTCCCAGCTCTGCCTGGAGGTGATGCCACCGGGGAATCGAATCTGGGATTTCCTTCTGCCTGCTCTCCCGCCCCTTCCCCCACCTCCTTTCCCAGCCACCCCTCTGGCTTACCGTGCTGCGACCACAGGGGACTTCTTCCCAGGATCCAACACGCTCCCAGCGGGCTCCTCCCCCAGGGAGCGCGTGTCCTTGTTCAGCTGCTGGAGCCGGGAGCTGAGCTCGCTGATCACAGTTGGTTTGTCATCCTCAGCCCCATGCGTCGGCCTGCTGTCCAGGGGGTCCCCCCACAGCTTGGACCTTCGCTGAAAGAGGTAGCGTGGCCGGCCGATGCTGGCGGAAGCCAGCATGGCCGCGTGTTGCTGGGAGATGAGCTCGCTGTCCGAAGACTGCTTCAAGAGAGGGTCCCTGAAAGTAACCGGCCCCTTGCTGAGCTGGGACTTGAGTTTTGGCTTTGGAGGCACTGGTGGCTTCTCGAGTATAAAAGTTTGTCCGTCCGCAAAGGAAGTGTAGGTGTCGGTGGGCTCCCCGCTCTCGGAGGACAGCGTGGACATGCTGGAGACGGTGGAGATGGTGCTTGTGGTCTCCAGGTGGTGATCGCTCGAGCTCCTGGTGTCCACCTCTTCCACTCCAGAGTCCGCCGCGGACTCCGGGGCCGTGGGGGCATCAGAGGGCTTCCCTGAGGGTGTTCCACCAGCGGTAGAAGGTGCTACAGCGGCCGCTGGCATGGATGGCGTGGCGATGACGGGAGAGGCCAGCTGGCTGATGGGGGTGCCGGGGGTGGTGACCAGGACCCCGTTCGCAAACTCGTCCGGCGGAGGAACCAGACCGATCTTAGCCAGCTCCTCTCGCGTCTCCTCATCGCTCGAAGACAGCTGGGCGGGTGGCAGGGTGACCGTGTAGGGCTCCACCTCCTCCTCTGAGCTCCCTTGACCCAGGGTCTTGTCAGAGACCGGGCTGACGGGTGCCACCCCAGCCACGGGGCTGGGCTGTGCCTCGGCCAGGGATGCCTCCGTGGGCTCCAGGCCCCCCTCGGGAATGGGCGGCTTCTCCTCTTTCGCCTCGAGACCGAGGTCCTGGCCATTGCTCGTGGCGTGGACCATGACGAGGCCGGCCGTCTTCTGCTGCGACGTGTCCACGATGCTGATAATCATTGACTTCCGGTCCTCCGCTTTCCTCTCCTCCTTGGCGGGGGTCTCGGCCCGCGCCTCGCCCTCTTTCCTCGCCGCAGCTGGCATCCCCCAGTGGCTCTGCGCCGGGGACAAGACTCCCGGTGTGGGCGCCTTGACCCCGGGCGAGTAGGCGGGCGAGGCGAGGGCCCCTCCCTCCAGCTCCCCCCTCTCGTGCTCTTTGGTTTGGATGTCCACAAACAGGGGCGCCGCGCGGTCCGAGTCCGGGCTGTGGATGGGGGTGGGCGCCCTGGAGGGGACCTGGGTGGACAGCGCCCGCTCCCTTGCGGCCAGCGCAAGCGCCAGAGGCGAGTTGGGATCCAGGGGCTTCCCCGTGAGAGGGTGGATGAACGTCGAGGAGGAGCTGCTGATCAATGGCTTTAAAGCTGAGACGGGGGAAGGCAGAAGGACGTCCCGGCTGCCCAGGAGCCGCTCGTCGATAGACCTCGACTGCTGCAGCGATGGCATCTCGATGGTGGGGGGGCTGCCTTCAATGGCCCCGACCGAGAGGAAGACAGTGGATTTCCGCTTTTCGTCGAGGCGCCGATCTCTGTCCTTCATGACCCCGGCGATGGCAGTGGCGAAGGGGAGGCTGGAGGCGTCCACCTGCTGCGGCTGGTACTCCATGCCCAGGCGGTGGCTGCGCCGGGTGGGGGATGGCTCCCGCGTGAAGCCCCCCATGATGGAGAGGGCCGCCCGCTCCTGGGCGTCCTCCACCTGCAGCTGCTTCACCAGCGGGCTCTTCTTCCTCTGGGGCTTGGCGGGGGTGAAGAGGCTGACGTTGAACTGGCCCATGTTGGCATAGGGGTTGTCCACGGCGCGCCCCTTCCGCTTCAGCTTCTCGGGCGGGGTGGCCGAGGGGGCGGGGCGGGGGATGTCGGTGGGCTCCACGGGGACGTGCGAGGAGTCCTGCAGGATGATCATGGAGCGTGCCCGCTTCTGCCGCTCGGGGTAAGGGAGGGGCGTCCTCGCCTGGTCGTACATCTCGGCCGCGCTGATCACCTGCGGCAGCCCGTGGAGCTTGGCCTCCAGGCCCGGCTTGAAGCTGGAGCGGATCGTGTCGTAGACCCTTCCTGGGGGTGGAGGGGGGGAGAAGGACGGGGGAGGGCCCGTGTCAAAGTAATAGGGGGACGGCGGAGGGGGAGGGGCCGTCTGGGGCGGGGGCGGGATGCCGTGCCCTTCCCGGACCGTGTCTTGCATGGAGGTGCTCCGGGGGAACTTCCCGTCCATTAGGGAAGCGGCAAATTTCTCATCTTCACCTGCAAACCAGCACAACAGGAAACGTCAAGGATTGCTCAGTGGGAAAGGAAACAATGGGTTGGCAAAGCAGGAAGTGAGTCACAGACGCCCTAACAGGCTGCCCCTGGTCCTGCTGGCCACTCCCCTTCCCAAGGCTCAGGTTGAACCGGGGATGGGCAGCTTGTGGTGACCCCCAGATGCTGTTGGACTCCATCCAATGGTTGTGTAGGGCATCCGAGTTGCCACTGAGACAATATTACACCGGTCCTTAAAGACCTACATTGGCTCCCAGTACACTGGTACTGACCTTGAAAGCCCTAAACAGCCTCAGCCCAGTATACCTGAAGAAGCGTCTCCACCCCCATCATTCAGCCCGGATGCTGAGGTCCAGCTCCGAGGGCCTTCTGGCAGTTCCCTCCCTACGAGAAGCCAAGTTACAGGGAACCAGGCAGAGGGCCTTCTCGGTAGTGGCACCCACCCTGTGGAACACCCTCCCATCAGCTGTCAAGGAAATAAACAACTACCTGACTTTTAGAAGACATCTGAAGGCAGCCCTGTTTAGGGGAGTTTCTATTTAATGTTTGAAGTTTTATTCTGTTTTTAGCGTTCTGTTAGAAGCTGCCCAGAGTGGCTGGGGAAACCCGGCCAGATGGGCGGGGTATAGATAATAAAATTATTATTGCTATTATTATTATCATCTGTGTTCAGCGGTGGATACTGGCTGCCAGTAGGCAAAAGGGAGCCCAGGTGTGGTTGGGCTTGTGCCTTCATACAACCCCCCACTTGTGGGCTTCCCATTCATGCATTTAGCTAGACACATTGGTTCTGGATGATGAGCCCCCTCTGGCCTGACCCAGCTGCTGCCTGCAGGGCTGTTCTAGAGCACTTTTCTAAGCAACACCTCTCCTAGTGCCCGTTTAGGAGAAGCCTCAGTGGGATGTGGGGTGGGCTGGCCTCCCTCTTTAGTTTTCTTTTCAAATGGTTTTATGGAACTTCAAAATATTAACAAAAGAGTTTCTCAGACATACAGGCAACGGCCATTTTAGGCAATTCCAATTGATCAATTGATCAATCAATTTCCAATTGATGAGGGGGTCCTTGGAAGAGGGCGGTTTTAGGAACTAACATTGTACGGTCATACTTCTTGTTACGTTCAGTTCAGGTTACGTCTTTTCAGATTGCGTCCTACGGCGACCCGGAAATAACGGAACGGGTTACTTCTGGGTTTCGCCACTCGTGCATGCACAGACGTTCAGAATGACGTCACGTGCGTGCGCAGAAGTGGCAAATTACGACCCACACAGGCGCAAACGTGCAGACGCGGGTTGCGTTCTGCTCATGTTGCGAACGGGCCTCCGGAACAGTGGCATCTTGGTTTAAGAACAGTCCGGTTTAAGAACGATTTGGTTTACAAACGCCGCAAAACCAGCAGTAGTGTCCCAGTTTGCAAACTTTACCTCGGTCTAAGAACGGAATCTGAACGGTGAAAGGGCAGCGGCGGTGGGAGGCCTCATTAGGGAAAGTGCACCTTGGTTTAAGAACAGTTTTGGTTTAAGAATGGACTTCTAGAATGGAAGTTCGTAAACCGAGGTGCCACTGTAATGCCAAGGCAAATTATAATAAACTTTACCATTAACTTTGCAGCGTTTCACTTATTGCATAGACTTCTTTGCTGCTACAGGATGCAGATGGTGGGATAGAATGATGATGGTGATATTTAAAAAAAACCAAAAAAGCAAGAAATCCTCCCTGGTTTCTGCAAGCCAAACCACCCATTACTTCGGGATACTTTCCAGCCATGTGCTCCCCTGTTTGTATATGCAATAAAACCATGCCAGACATCATGGAAATTGTCACGTTTCTCTTGTCCTCTTGACACTTTTAATCTGCGCCATAACTTTTGCAGTAAGGCTGTTTGCCAAACTGTGCGATACCCCTGCAGTCCCCTGTCCCATCCACCTAAAGCAAGGACTTGCTGCCAGTCTAAAATGCTCAAACATCCCATTGCAACTTTACTGCGGTTTTGTTTGCTAAATCTCTGGGACGATCCATTGAAAAGTTTCCGCTCTCTGGAGTTCTTGACATGGATCCTGGCAGCTGCCCAGATCCTCGGTTGCCCCAGCTTTTGCTTCAGTATAAGAATACACGGAGCTTAGCATTAGCTGGGCGGGGAAAACAAGTCACAAATTATGTGTTGCCAATGGCTTGGAGAACCCTGAAAAATCTTATGCTGCTTGATGGGGGTTTATCTTCTATAAAACAAACACAGCCCCAGGACTCCATCTCCACAGTACAATGTGAAATTTGGCTTTCCTAGTCATCTTAAGTACTCTGCCAACCTAATATTAAGTCTCTTCTAGATATAATGCACTGCTTTTGGGGGGGGCACTTCTATTATTTTTATTGTATCCATGTCTTTGATTTACTTCAATAAATACTTTATTCTTATGTTTCTTATGTCTTCTTATTCTTTATTCTTTATGCTTTGGGAGACGGGCGAACTAATACCAGTGTAGTGGAAGAAGCAAAGATTACTAGTGTTGAAGCAATGATTCTTCAACATCAACTTCGTTGGACTGGTCATGTTGTGTGGATGCCTGATTATCGTCTTCCAAAACAACTACTCTATTCCAAACTTAAAAATGGAAAGCACAATGCTGGTGGTCAACAAAAGAGGTTTAAGAACTTCCTCAAGGCATATCTTAAAAAATGTAGCATAAACACCGACAACTGGGAAACACTGGCCTGCGAGCGCTCCAGTTGGAGAACAGCCTTTCCCAAAGGTGTCATGGGCTTTGAAGGCACTCAAACGCAGGACGCAAGGGGGAAACATGCTAAGAGGAAGGCACACTTGGCAAACCCTCACCATGATCAACTTGGAAACCAATGTCCCCACTGTGGTAGGAAGTGTGGATCCAGAATTGGCCTCCACAGTCACTTACGGACTCATTGTTAACACCGTGTTTATGGAAGTCAATCTTACTCGGCTACGATGGATCGCCGAAGAAGAAGAAGAAGAAGAGAGCAGGACTGGGCATATCCCTCTTGGTGGCTGTTTTTGGGTATGTGTGCAGACTCTTCTCTGCCCCGCTTGCCATGCAATTCAGTGGAGAAAATCTCTCCACTGCCCTACATGGGGTGGGAGAATAAAGAGTTTGAATCCCCAGAAAGGGCAAGGAAAAGGAATCGCAGCATGAACTTTGTTTCACACCAAGGTTCCTTAGCAGGGCAGGTGGGCTTCCACCTTCACCTGTCTCTTGTGTGTGTGTGGGGGGGGTGTGCAGTCTATTCTTTCTCCGCAAGCAAGTTAATTGAGAAAGCAATCTCGCCATTAACTTGAATGGGATGGGGAGAGAGGCTGGACTGCCAGGGCAACGACTGTCCTTGGTTGACCCCTGAGTTGGCGAGGCTCATTGACAGAAACATGAAATATAGCCTTCAGTGTCATTGGCCCAGTCTTTAGCTAGCTCTGCCAAGGGAAACCGAGAAGGCAACTTCTGCCTCAGTTTTGAGACGTCTGCTGAAAACTTCTTCATTCCATCAGGCAATTAAGAATACCTTTCCAGCTCGTTGATGGGCCTCTTAATTTTTATGTATTTTCATTATATATAGGTATTATTGTAAACCACTTTGATGTTGTTTATGACTTAGTGGTATATGCAGATTTGCATAAATAATAAAAGGAAAGAAAATGGCTGCAGTATTTGGAAATCTCTTATTGAAATAATAATAATAATAATAATAATAATAATAATAATAATAATAATAATAATTGTCCCCTACCCATCTCACTGGGTTACTGCAGCCTCATTGGGCTGTTTCCAACAAATATAAAAGCATACTAAAACATTAAAAACTTTGGTCTAGATTCAACCAGAATCTTCCATTCCCTTTGAAAAAAGAAACAGCACAATTTTTCGGTGTGCGCTGAAGAGGAGGGAGTTCTGTGCAACTTTGGAAACCCCGACTTGCTTGCTCTGTGGGATCAAGACAGACCAAACCCACTGGATAAGAATAAGAATTTATACCTCACCCATCTGGCTGGGTTTCCCCAGCCACTCTGGATGGCTCCCAACAGAACACTAAAAACACGATAAAACATCAAACATTAAAAACTTTGCCAAACAGGGCTGCCTTCAGATGTCATCCAAAAGTCATATAGTTCTTTATCTCCTTGACATCTGAAGGGAGGGCGTTCCACAGGGCGGGCGCCACCACCAAGAAGGCCCTGTGCCTGGTTCCCTGTAGCTCCACTTCTCACAGGGAGGGAACCACCAGAAGGCCCTCAGCACTGGACCTCAGTGTCCAGGCAGAACAATAGCCCGGGATAACCGCGCAGCCTGCATTCGCTCCATAAGACACACAAACACATTTCCCCTTACTTTTTAGGAGGGGAAAAGTGCATCTTATAGAATGAAAAATACGGTATCTATTGCTATGAGGACTCTCATTTCACATTCCCATGAAAACGAGGACGTGTCCTGGAAAAAAGAGGCCACCTGGAAGAACCTTCGAGCTGCGAGAGCTCTTCAACTGTGGAACGGACTCCCTCAGAAACCTTCCTTGAAGGTTTGGAAGCAAGGGGCTGGACTAGGGGTCCCTCTACCGTTCTATGATTCTGCTGCTCCACAAATCTTGCCATCGTGCCTCTTCCCCCCCAGTGTTTTGCGACTCTGTCGAACCAGATTCCCGGAGTATCTGGGAATGCCAGCCCTCGGCTCCGAAGTGAATCACTGGCGGATTGTTGCCATTGTCCGTAATTAACTCTTTGGGAATCCCTGGAGGGAAGACGTGGTGGCTCACAATGCCTGACGACGGGGCTGTTCTCTGTGTTGTCCAACATATCATTAAAAGCGCGCCAGTGACTAGCAGGGTGCTAATCGGAGGCAATTAGTCCTTTTTAATACCAGCAGAGCTGAGTCAAAGTGGGTCAGAGGATGCGCAGGGATCTCATGAAATCACAGAGCCAGAGAGGAAGAGGCCATGTGTTCTACTCTTTTGCCCTGTGGTACGATTCACT